CACCTCCACACCCACTACCAGGATTACCCACTCTCGCCCACCTCCACACCCACTACCAGGATTACCCACGCCTGCCCACCTCCACAACCACTACCACGATTACCCACGCCTGCCCTCCTCCACACCCACTACCAGGATTACCCATGCTTGCCCACCTCCACACCCACTACCAGGATTACCCACGCCTGCCCACCTCCACACCCACTACCAGGATTACCCACGTCTGCCCACCTCCACACCCACTACCAGGATTACCCACACCTGCCCTCCTCCATACCCACTACCAGAATTACTCACTCTTGCCCACCTCCATACCCACCACCAGGATTACCCATGCTTGCCCACCTCTGTTCCCATCCCACACTGGCACCAAAATCTTGCCTGTTATTTCTTCACCTATCTCCTTTCCCTTGCTCACTCACCACACTCTGAAGATGTGCAGGATAGGGTGGATTAGCCATGCAAAAATTGTTCCCTCGTGTCCAGGGACGTGCAGGTTAGGTGGATTAGTCATGGGAAATGCAGGGATGGGGTAGGCAGGGATGGGTCTGGGTGGGATGCTCTTTGGAGGGTCGGTACAGACTTGATGGGCCGAACAATCTCTTTCCACACTGTAGGGGTTCTATGATTCGCCTCTGCAAAGAGGTCTTGTGTAGGATCCCTACCTCTCATAAGTTCCAGATTCAAGTCCCACCTTGGGACTTGATGGTTGTGGAAGGTGTATCATGGGACAGCATGGTGGCACAGTGGTTAGCACTGCTACCTCACAGTGCTAGGGACCTGGGTTCGATTCCACCCTCGGGTGATTGTCTGTGGAGTTTGTGTGTTTTTCTGTGCTGTAACAATTCTGTGATATACATACATTGTATGGGAGGCCATGTAGGCCACAATTCCTATAGTGAGTCACAGAATCACACAGCTGTACAGCATGGAAACAGACCCTTCGGTCCAACTTGCCCATGCTGACCAGATATCCTAAATTAATCTAGCCCTGTTTGGCCCATATCCCTCTAAACCTTTCCTTATTCAGATACCCATCCAGATGAGTGCAGCTGCTGCTGTATGTTGAGCAAACAGTACTGGGGCGACTCCACTCTATTCTATTCGGTGGTAATGATTGACAACAATTAAAGATATGCCCCCTTAAAGGTACATGCACATCGTAACACTACACCACAGTGCACCAGAAACTCGACACTATTTTAACTATCTATTGGTTTAATTTGTTCCGTGGATGCTAAATCAGCATTTTATTTTTCAGCTCTCACTCCAAACCCGCAACACAAGCAACGTACCCTTGTTAATTTCATCCGACACAATATGGAGGACGAGCTCGTTGTAGGTGCTTTCGATCTGTATCAGTCCATCATCGTCGTCAGCGCAGAGACACCCTTCATACATCGGGAGTTCCTGCAAGACAGTTTGCACAACGTGACTCACTCTTCACGGCTGTGCCTCACCCTACCCTCTGCCACCCAGCGGAGCTTCCGTTCAGAAATGCGGTGCCACTCTGTGGGGAAGGGGGCAAGGCCAGCCATGTGTTGCTTGGCACAGGGTGGCACCACATTGCCATCGGTGGGCAGCTATTAGCGGAGCTGTCCCCCCCACTTCTTCATTTCTAAAGAAGGGTCCAGACCCGAAATGTCAGCCTTCCTACTCCTATGACGCTGCTTGGCCTGCTGTGTTCATCCAGCTCTACACCTTGTTATCTCGGACTCCAGTATCGGCAGTTTCTACTATCTCTGCACTACTGAAGGTGTTTTGTATGCTTCAGAAGTACTTAATTGGCTTTGAAAATACTTTGAGATGTGCTGCATCAGTGAAAAGTATGATATAAATGCAAGCCCGCTTTTTACCTTTAGGTCAAAGACACAGTTCCAGTGACAGTCAGGCAATAGCGAGAGACACGGAGCTGTGCTATTGTAGCACCTTCCAGGAGGGTATGCAGCCGAGTTAAAAGGAGCGAGCAGGTGGGCAATGCGGGCATAAGGTAGGAGAGGAACAGTTAGGAAAACTGGGCGTAGAGGAGGAATAAGGATCAAAGAAGAAAGCTATGCAATATTAAGCCATGCTTGGAAGCAAGGACCTGAGAGGGAAAATGGATAATGGGGGTGGTGAAAGGTAGAGACCAAAACTCATGGCAAAAAGCTAATGATGAGAAGGGCCTGGGAGAGAAAGCAATGAGGTACAGGAAGAAAATGGGCGAGAGGGAGGGAAAGAAGATAGAAGAGAGACAAATACGTGAAACAGACAGAGGAGGAGAGGCAAAAGGAAGGAGAGATGTTAGGTGACAGGAAGAGCCAGGAAAAGTCCATGTGGGTTTTATCCATCTGATAGATAAACAATTTTTGGCATCAATGTTTATTCATTCATAGGATGTGGGAGTTGCTGGCCAGGCCAGCACTCATTGCTTATCCCTCGATGCCCAGAGGGCAGCTAAGAGTCAACCACATTGCTGTGGGTCTGGAGTCACATGTAGGCCAGACAAGTAAGGATAGCAGTTTCCTTCCCTAAAGGACATTAGTGAACCAGATGTGCTTTTCCGACACTTGACAATGGATTTATGGTTGACATTGGGCTAGGGATGTGAAAGATCTACAATGAGAAGGGTAGGGGAGGGGGGTGAGAGACTGGGGATACAGGGGCAGGGGAGGGGGCTGAGAGACTGAGGATGACAGGGGCAGGGGAGGGGGTGAGAGACAGGGGATGACATGGGTAGGGGAGGGGGGTGAGAGACCGGGCATGACAGGGGTAGTGGAGGAGGGGTTGAGACCGGGGATGACAGGAATAGGGAAGGGGTGTGAGAGGTGGGGGATGACAGGGGTAGGGGAGGGGGTTGAGAGACTGGGGATGGCAGTAATAGGGGAGGGGTGTGAGAGGTGGGGGATGACAGGGGTAGGGGAGGGGGCTGAGAGACCGGGGATGACAGTAATAGGGGAGGGGTGTGAGAGGTGGGGGATGACAGGGGTAGGGGAGGGGCTTGAGAGACTGGGGATGGCAGTAATAGGGGAGGGGTGTGAGAGGTGGGGGATGACAGGGGTGGGGGAGTGAGAGACCGGGGATGACAGTAATAGGGGAGGGGTGTGAGAGGTGGGGGATGACAGG